GCAATGGGGAGGAAGGAGTTAACTTTATTTTGCAGGGAAGGGTTATCTGAGTGAGGGGGAGTGTTTTACTAGGGGGCGGGGGTGTGTGCTGCACGGGGGACACCGCTGATCGAGAGAGAAACTCTTCTTTCTCGATCAGCTCGTCCTCGAGCTGACAGGGAAATGACAGACAGCACAGCTACTGCAGCTGTGCTCTCTGTCACTGTTTGCCGCTGATCGCCGGGAAACAGCCGCTAAGGACCGGCTGTGACCCAGCCACTGACATCCGCGGCGGTGATCGGTGGGACAGATAGGGCGGCGGCGCGCCTCGCGTGCGCCCCCTATCTGTTTACAAAACACACACGTCTTAAAACGTGGTTTTGCCTGCCAGTGCCACCCTGCCGCCGTATTTCTACAGTGGCTGGGCGGCAAGTGGTTAATACATGCAGAAAAACTGACAGAAACTGACGCGCAGATTTTTTATGCGCACTTCAGTGAGTTTTATACACATTGCAGAATCCTATGCAGAAAAAATCTGCACGTGATCCTAGTGTTGTGGAGTGAACAGGGCACATAGAAAACAATTGATTTTGTTGTGCCCTTGCAGAACTCGTGGAGCAAAACTCATGGCTCTGTACCATGGTGTGAACAGGCCCTAAAGCAGAACATAACTCTGAAAAAAGCAGTAGTTAGGGCTTTTCTATATTTGAAATAATAGTAACCAAATGAGGTAACCACCCCTATTACTAGATGGGGATATTCTGCTTGAAGTAAAGGGGACTATTCATGTGTTCAATAATATGAAATATATACAACAAAACTATATAGAAAAGCACATGTTTATTGGCTTATTCAATTAAAAAGAAACATGCATCATAAAAACATGTAACATCAAAATTCAGCAGTGTCATACAATCTTTGGATATAATGGTAATGTATAACAAGCATGTAGGATCAGCACTTTAATTGCTTCCTCAGGATCTATGCTTGAGATGAACCACTGGATTAAATAGAAATAAATATTTATTTATTCTAGTGATTCATCTCAAGTGTGGATCCTGAGGACACAATTATAGCGAAACACGTTGATCCTACACGCTTGTTATACATTACCTTTATATCCAAAGATTGTATGACACTGTTGGATTTTGATATTACATGTTTTTATGATGCATGTTTCATTTTAATTGAATATGCCAATAAACATATGCTTTATATATAGTTGTGTTGCGTATATTTCACATTGTTAGGCACATGAAAAGTCCTCTTTACTTCAAGCGGGATATCCCCATCTAGTAATAGGTGTGGTTACCCATTTTGCTACTTTTATTAATTTTGGGATGGTGTCACAATGTGGATGTTCATATTAGTATACATTTGTTTTTCTTTTCTTTTTTTAAATTTTTTTAAATAATTTAGCCCCATGCCCCTGGCTATTCTGGCCTAGGCCAGACTAATGTTATCTGATCTTGCAGACTCCTGGGATACTTACATCACTACTAATAATAGTGTGGGAGGAGGGGGCGATCCAGAGGGTGTGCCGAAGGCAAGTTTGGTGCATCAACAGAACTGGCTACCTATACTCAGGAGAGGCAGCCAACTGAAGGAAACCTAGATGATAGCACAGGACCCTCTGTGTGGCACCCAAATGGTGGATTGCAGCGGGGCCACACTGGATTTGCTGTGTGGGTGAGGATGTGCTTTAAAGAGCACTACAGGTAAAGGAAAAAAACATGGTGGGGAATGGGGGAATTGGAGTACCACTAACTGCTTTCAGACCCTATAATAGTAATTGGCTGGTTATCCTGCTTCCCATATCTATGAGGTTGCTGTCCAGGGTCAAGGGCTGTGGAGATCATTATGGGCGAGAGCCCAAATTCTCCACCCGCCAGTTGTGTGATAGCCCATCATAGCCTCTTGAATTGCATAAAAAGCTGAGCTTAACATTCCCCTTTCTTAGTGCATACATTAGAAAGAAAGAAAGGGCACTGCAAATGTTTCTTACCTTGCTCCAAGATATTGTTTTCTACAAGTACAAAGGCTGCATTTTAATTGCCCAAACATCAAACTGGAAAATTTCCAGCATTTCACGTGAAGCTTATCAGCCAGATGAGTTTTCGAAAAGTCTGAGCTAAGATCTTGTTTCTAGGCTTGTGATAAACAGGTAGATAGAGCAGTGTGGCATGCTGTAGTCCCTAGCTGCCTCACATGCTATTATTCCATTAGACACAACCATCAATCACAGAGTCTGCTCAGCCCCAGGACTGCTGACTGAGAAGTCTCAGTATGTCCAACTAATATTTTCTGTCCTGCCTGCTGCCTCTAGGATAAGCTGACAGACTTGCAAGCCCTTCTATGCCAGTCTGTCCTGTTTATCTTCCCGGCAGCCAAGATTCAGAGCTCGAAGTAACCAAGAGAAGCTTCTAATACATAGAGAAGACAGCTGCAATTTACCATTGATCCTGTCCCTTTGCTTATTTTATGACTTGGATTTATTTTAATGTTTTCTCTGTGTATTTAATTTCTACTTTATTCCTCAATCGACATTGGATTTTACTGTCTTGGAATCCAGGACTTTGTGTGAGGTCCCCGGACTTGTAAATCTCACACAAATATCACTATAAAAAGAGTTTGTGTCTTGCCAGAAAGTCAGCAAGAGACCATGATGCACTGCAGGAGCAGCTATTAGCCAGGCAACATAAGTGACTTATATTAAGATGTATGATTGCTTGTCTTTTGCGAGTGTTTCCGTTCTAAAAATGGACTTGCCCAGAATAATCTGATATTGCTTATTTAGGGATGATAAAAGGAGGAAAGATTTTGTGGGCTGAATGGTAATCATTAAATCTCTGGCATTAAAGCAGACCTAAATTCAGGCAACCATATCACTCAACGGTGAAAGAAAAGTCAATTGTGAATGTCTGTGAAGGTATATATCCAGGTCAGGGTAGCTAGTATTAGTTAATCACATTCAACTGGACCTGTTCCATAATATTGAAGATATTTTTTAGCTTATTCAAGTCACTAATTCCATTCCAATGAATGTCAGGAACATACCCAAGCATTTATATCCATTCACGTAGACAGACACCCTAATCCAATCTCCATGGAATGTGTCAAGACAGAACAGGGCAAGGGGATAGGACATTGTGTAACCACCCTGCTCTAGTTACATAATACCATTCTTGCCTGTCAAATCACTGCAGTAGAGATGTTAAAACTTACCATGTTATTGAATCAGGTATTTGGATGACACGTGGGTCAAGATTAGAGTGCCCATTAGCGGGAGGCTAGTTCCAGTGCTGGGACCTACTGTAATTCCAGAGATGGAAAGTCCCTAACTCCATCGCTCTTGCTCCACACTCTTCCTATGGGCCAATCAGGAAATGTACTCACATGTATACATGGAGCCCCTTCGATTCCAGTGGTTACAGGTGTGGTTTGCCAGCGATCATGCTGAACATGTGGACCCATGAATAACCAGGGTGGCATGTTACAAGGAACCTCTTTTGTAAGTGACCTGGATTTGCTGCAGCTTCCTGTCATACTAACCAGGGCCTGCATGCCATGTCATCTTTTGATGAGGTACATACATACTTGTCTTTAGGAGAAAAACTGCCATATTGTGTCACACATGCTCCAAGCCTCAGGCCCACAAAGGATGCTTTTTGAACAGTTTACTGTAAAGTAACGGGATAACGTTTTGTACAGTCAATTCGCCAAAGGCACACTTCAGATGTCTAGTACAGTTCAACTTGGTACTGAGAAATTTCAAACTTATTCTCCCATTCTCATTCCACTGTGAGTTTCCCTACCATGGGTCCTCCATACACCCATCTGACTAGGGCTTCAGCCACTACAATTTATAATAGGGGTATCAACTCCACCCACCAATCAGGAGAGGGGCCTTACTAAAAAGTAAACTAACCGCAGCTTATAATCTTACCATCTCCAGATTAGTTGAACCACCTTCAGAAGGCCACCATCTGTTTCCTGACTGAGCCGGTCTCTGTCTCTGCTCTGCAGGCATGGGTTTACCCTTTGCCCCATATGAATAAATGGACTACAGTGCATTCTCAGGAACACTGCACAGTACAGAACGGCACTCTTCTCTAAACTCACAGTCCAGGACACTGCTGAAGACTTGGAATGGCTGAGACCCCAATAGTGCAGGAATCAATTCATTACTCACAAGTCCCCAAGACAGCTGCTACCTACCAGCCTCCTCCAGACCCAACCCAATGAGTGAGACAGTCCTTCTCAAGACCAGATCCCTTTGGTGAAGTCCTTCAGTCAGTTCCAGATCACTTCCAGGTCCCAGCTTTACCACCACTGAGACCTCACAGAGCATCAACAGGCTGTCTCATGGGTAACAGCCCCCCGAGGCTGGAAACTCTCCTCCCTGTGGAAAGACAATCTTTCCCGGATTCTAGAATATTTCCCAGCCACCATCTGGTCACACCTCCTCACAGATCGGCTAGGCCATGATTAATATTCTGGCAGCTGGTTATTTGAATTCTCACTCCCTAAGCTCTAGAAACGTCTTCTAGAGGGAGAAAAGAGCAATCAAACGTCCAGCCTTTGAAACCCTGAACAAAGCAGGACAAACAATCACTGCTTCATTGAGTACAGAAGGAGCCCAAAACTAAATGTACCCAGCATCTTACGCTAGGAGGATGCTACATCAACTACATGGCTTCCCCTCCAACCAACACTTAAACTGACAACAGCACCAGAAAAAAATGGGAAATAAAGTTTATTGAAAAAAAATGTAAATTATATTACTCAAAAAGTAATTACATCTTTCTCACTTTGCTGATGGTTCTTCAATGCAGGAATAGGAGTACAGAGGGTCATCAAAAAGCCTTTGTGAACAGAAAATGGATACGTGTATGAGAAACGTGCAGGGGATCAAAGAATAGTCTCTTTATCAAAGGGTCAACTAGTAATTCGGTAAAATGTGCACTACCCAATAGGAAGTTTGGGGAAGTGCAGCTAGAAAAGTTGATCCAAAGGGAAACTTTTACTTTTATGTAAGGGTTTAATGCTATTTTAGTGTATGTTGATAGTTTAGCACCAGCTTACGTTAAAATGTTATTAAACCCAGGACCCTGCATTTACTATATCTGGTCTCCCCAGACCCTGCATTCACTATATCTGGTCTCCCAGGACCCTACATTCACTATATCTGATCTCCCCGGACCCTGCATTCACTATATCTGGTCTCCCAGGACCCTACATTCACTATATCTGATCTCCCAGGACCCTGCATTCACTATATCTGATCTCCCTGGGCCCTACATTCGCTATATCCGATCTCCCACAGTAGACACTACATAGAAATGCAATTATTTTCGTAAATATAAACTGCTAAATACCTTTCTCATCAGCAGTTAGAGCAGTCTTGTGACTTCTATCAGTGTCCAGCAGAACACTGGTTAAAGCTTGTAGGAGGAGTTTTTTTCTTTCTGCTCTAGGAGGATGCACAACCCCTGACCTCTGTCTGGACAGTGCTGATTGGCGCTGTGCTGATCACATGCACTCTCCCAAGAAAAAAGAAAAACCTTTCTAGTCATACACACCAAACTGAGCATGTGCAGAGTGTCTCCACACCATATGTCTTATCAGGAAATAAGAGGGGGGCACTGGAAGAAGGGGCGGATCAGAGAAGTCAGGATCAAACAGCATTTTTTAAACAATGCAGAGGATTAACCCCTTAGGTTCCACAGTGAGTATAACAAGCATGATTTACTGCATATACATACTGGTTTTACTGTTGTGGGTTTAGTAAAACTTTAACTGTTGCACAATAATTCGAAGAAGAAAAAAATGATCCTGTTGCTAATTATGCATCACCTTTACCCTTCCCACTAGTGCCTCCCACAAAGACAGGAGATTGAGAGTAGGAACAAAAATAACCGGTTGTGTCATCTGTCGCTGCCTCCTGCAAACAGACTAAACTAAAAGGTTTCTTCAGTACTCTGAAAAAAACAACAGAAAACAAAAAAAAAAGCCACCAAAAAATAAGCTTTTACTACTCGTATCTCCTCAGTGCATACTGTGATTACAATCCAGGGGGCTTGTTCACACAGGTAAAGTACAAGTGTTTGTCTCAAGTTAATAAAGCTTTTCAAACACTTTGCAAATCCAACAGCTGTTTACATCAATAGCCAAAGGTCTAGTACACATTAAAAATTCACAGGGCATTTAATTTGCTTCAACTTTGATCTTACCTGCAGCGTTGAGCAGGAATTGGAAGCTTGCAATGCTTGCCAAATGCCTCAATTCAAATCAACTTGAAGTGTGCCACAAATACGTTTTAAACTCCTAAAATGCTTGGCACACATTTGTGTAATGCTATGAAAAGGTTCCTTCCTTGTTTACCCCCTCCTAAAAAAAAGGACCAAGAGATCTGAAAGCATGCATGAAATGCATCTAAAGCACATCTGAAAAGTGAACTAACTTTATAGGCTTTTCAAAGGTATTGTTAATGACTCTACCTTTAAAATTAAATTAAATACAAAAGTGCAGCATAAAAATTGTCACCAAATATTTTTCTTCCGTTGTGTAAACTAAAATAGCCTTATGTATCAAAAGTGCGTACTCAAATATGTTCCAAGCACTTGTCCATGTGCTACGTGCAATACCAAAGAATTAAAAAGGTAATCCAAGTCCATCTTGGATGGTACCTGACCTCCTAAACAACAGCTAAATTATCTCACGCCTCATTATGGACTACTGCAACTCCCTCCTCACCGAAGTTTGCCAATGACCATCTGGATGATCCAGAGGAGGCATGGGAGAAATTCATGTGGTCAGATGAGACCAAAGTAGAACTTTTTGGTTTAAACTTCACTCGTCGTGTTTGGAAGAAAAAGAAGGATGAGTTGCATCCCAAGAGCACCATCCCTACTGTGAAGCATGGGGGTGGTAACATCATGCTTTGGGGGTGCTTTTCTGCGAAGGGGACAGGACGACTGCATTGTATTAAGGAGAGGATGAATGGGGACATTTATTGTGAGATTTTGAGCAACAACCTCCTTCCCTCAGTCAGAGCATTGAAGATGGGTCATGGCTGGGTCTTCCAACATGACAACGACCCGAAGCACACAGCCAGGATAACCAAGGAGTGGCTCCGTAAGAAGCATATCAAGGTTCTGGAGTGGCCTAGCCAGTCTCCAGACCTAAATACAATAGAACATCTTTGGAGGGAGCTGAAACTCTGTGTTGCTCAGCGACAGCCCTGAAACCTGACAGATCTAGAGGAGATCTGTGTGGAGGAGTGGGCCAAAATCCCTGTTGCAGTGTGTGCAAACCTGGTCAAGAACTACAGGAAACATTGGACCTCTGTAATTGCAAACAAAGGCTTCTGTACTAAATATTACCACTGATTTTCTCTGGTGTTCAAATACTTATGTTCAGCAGTGCAAGACAAATAAATTCTTTAAAAATTATACAATCTGATTTCCTGAATTTTTTTTTTAATTCTGTCTCTCAAAGTGGGAATGCACCTACAATGTGAGTTTCAGACCCCTCCATGATTTCTAAGTGGGAGAACTTGCAAAATCGCAGGCAGGGTGTTCAAATACTTCTGTTCCTCACTGTATATATATATATATATATATATATATATATATATATATATATATATATATATGAATATATTGAAAAATATTTTGAAATATATTGAATATGGCCAAAATAGTAGCATTTCAAATATATGGCAATATATTTGGGAAGAATATTTTAAAAATAAAATAAGAGGACAGCATGCCTCTTAATTGTTAGAAAATGGAGATCTGCATTGATCCCTAGCCTAACAGAGGTTACACAGCACTTAGATATAATATTTGAATAAACAGTAGATCCCCCAACAACATAAGAACCCCTTAGCAGCAATAGATACCCAGCAGCCAGTATCAATAGACCCTCCCCTGTAAACAGCAGATCCCCCAACAACATAAGAACCCCTGAGCAACAATAGATACCCCAGCAGCCAGAATCACTAGACTCTCCCCCCTAAACAGTAGATCCCCCCAACAACATAAGCACCCCAGAGCAACAAATTATCCCCCACCAGCAACAATAACCCCCTCCAGCAACAATAGAACCACCTATTAGCGCTACAGCTCAGCTAGAATAGATCACCAGAAATCAAAATCAATAGACCCTCCAGCACACCCTAGCCCCCTTTGCCATTACATGCATTCTGTGCAGGAGGTGCTGGAACTGTGCTGCTCCGCGTTCGTGCTGAAAAAAAGCCTTGGTTAGCATTGATTGATGTGAAATGTTGTGTTTGGAAGATAAGGTAGAGAAGGGAAGGGTTGAAAAGGCGGGGCGAGTGTAGGATAGGTAAGGGGGACAAGGGGAAGGGAAATAAACAAAAGGGGCGGAGCAACATGACATTAGATTTGAGTGCACTTTAATTGTGAGCGTTTTACCATTACATTTTAAATAAAGGGGTGCATGATGATAATTATTTTATTTCTTTTAGCATCATTGCCAAATGGTGAAATGTTAGCTTGTCAGGGAACCTGATATACCGGTATGCACGGGCGGGCTGACCATTTGGAAACTCGGGCACCGCCCAAGGGCCCGTGGTCAGTAGGGGGCCCCATGAGATGCCCCTGGTACCTTTTTCATAGGCTTTTTTGAGTTTGGGCAAGGACAAAGGGGCCCCATGATCCCCTATTGCCCGGGGGCCCCATGAGTTGTCAGTCTGCCCCTGCCAGTATGTAGAAGATTCTCTATGGGTACATCTGGTGAATACCCAGAGGTAGTGAAATCCCACATTAAAGGGCAAGGCACCATCTGACGTAGCTTCATTGCAGGTCATATACATACAGTCATGGCCGAAATTGTTGGCACCCTTGATATTTCTCCAGGAAATCATGTATTTCTCACGAAACGTATTGCATTAACACATGTTTTGCTGAACACATGTTTATTCCCTTTGTGTGTATTGGGACAAAACAAAAAGAAAGCAAATTCGACATAATGTCACACAAACCTCCCAAAAATGGGCTGGACAAAAGTATTGGCACCCTTTCACAACTGCGATAAATAAGAATGTTACAAGCATGTGATGCTCCTGGTAAACTCACCTGGGGCAAGTAACAGGTGTGGGCAATATAGAAATCACACCTGAAAGCAGATAAAAAGGAGAGACGTTCACTTAACCTTTGCATTGTGTGTCTGTCTGTGCCACACTAAGCATGGACAACAGAAAGAGGAGACGAGAACTTGTCTGAGGACCTGAGAACCAAAATTGTGGCAAAATATCAACAATCTCAAGGTTACAAGTCCATCTCCAGAGAACTAGATTTGCCTTTGTCCACAGTGCGCAAACATTATCAAGAAGTTTGCAACCCATGGCACTGTAGCTAATCTCCCTGGTCGTGGACGGATGAGGAAAAATTGATGAAAGATTGCAACGCAGAATAGTCCGGATGGTGGATAAGCAGCCCCAAACATGTTCCAAAGACATTCAAGCTGTCCTGCAGGCTCAGGGAGCATCAGTGTCAGCGCGAAAACTATCCGTCGACATTTAAATGAAATGAAACGCTATGGCAGGAGACCCAGGAGGACCCCACTGCTGACACAGAGACATAAAAAAGCAAGACTACAGTTTGCCAAAATGTACTTGAGTAAGCCAAAAGCCTTCTGGGAAAACGTCTTGTGGACAGATGAGACCAAGATAGAGCTTTTCGGTAAAGCACATCTTCTACTGTTTACCGAAAACGGAATGAGGCCTACAAAGAACAAAACACAGTACCTACGGTAAAATATGGTGGAGGTTCAATGATGTTTTGGGGTTGTTTTGCTGCCTCTGGCACTGGGTGCCTTGACTGTGTGCAAGGCATCATGAAATCTGAGGATTACCAAAGGATTTTTGGGTCGCACTGTAGGGCCCAGTGTCAGAAAGCTGGGTTTGCGGTCCAAGATCCTGGGTCTTCCAGCAGGACAATGACCCCAAACATACGTCAAAAAGCACTCAGAAATGGATGGCAAAGAAGCGCTGGAGAGTTCTGAAGTGGCCAGCAATGAGCCCAGATCTAAATCCCATTGAACACCTGTGGAGAGATCTTAAAATTGCTGTTGGGAAAAGGTGTGTCCTTCCAATAAGAGAGACCTGGATCTGTTTGCAAAGGAAGAGTGGTCCAAAATTCCGGGTGAGAGGTGTCAGAAGCTTATTGATGGTTATAGGAAGCGACTGATTTCAGTTATGGTTTTCCAAAGGGTGTGCAACCAAATATTAAGTTAAGGGTGCCAATACTTTTGTCCAGCCCATTTTTGGGGTTTTGTGTGACATTATGTCATATTTGCTTTTCTGCTCT